AGTTATGTCAGCTTGGAAAGAATGGGGTCTTTTCCCGCTGGCAGTTCTGGCGCCTCGGTCAGGACCAAGGTCAGGGACTCCCAGGACAGCCCTGTGCCTCAGGCTGCTGCGCAGAGAGAGGCTGGGACCACCTGATCTCTGTTCTGCTGAGAAAGAAACTGAGGCTCGAAGGGAAAGGACTTCTTTAGTGGCAAGTAGAACTCCAGACAGCTCTCAAACCCAGTGTCCTCAGACTTCCCAGCCTGCACCTCTCGGCTCTCCTGTGCACAGCCGCTAAGTAGGCACTTACCAACCGCAGTTCTGGAGCTTAGACCCTTACAGCCTTGGCACTGTGTTCCCCTTCTCTGTGGGTGAGGCAGCCATTAAGTCGCTTACCCAGGAGCACCTGCTCGTAAGTGGAAAGGTCAGGACTCGAACCCCTAGCCTGCCTCAGCCTTAAAGCTTGTCTTCTTCCTCTGCTTACTGATTCCTAGCTCCTTTTTGTTCTTTTTTTAACATTTACTTATTTTTTTAATTAATTAATTAATTAATTAATTTTGGTTTTTCGAGACAGGGTTTCTCTGTAGCTTTGGAGCCTGTCCTAGGACTAGCTCTTGTAGACCAGGCTGGCCTCGAACTCGCAGAGATACACCTGCCTCTGCCTCCCGAGTGCTGGGATTAAAGGCGTGCGCCACCACCACCCGGCTTATTTTTTAATTTATTTTACATTCCAATTAAGGTTCTCCCTACCACCACCACCCCCTAACCAATAGCTAAGGGCTCCCATCAGAGTTTCTACCTCCTAGTTCTGCCCAGGACTGCTCTTGATGAAAGGATACATGCAAGCAAAATACTGTATACACAATAAATAATTAAATCTTTTTTAAAAAAATATTTATTTATTATGTATACAATATTCTGTCTGCGTGTATGCCTTCAGGTTAGAAGAGGGCACCAGACCTCATTACAAATGGTTGTGAGCCACCATGTGGTTGCTGGAAATTGAACTCAGGACCTTTGGAAGAGCAAGCAATGCCCTTAACTGCTGAGCCATCTCTCCAGCCCTAAATAATTAAATCTTAAAGAGAGGGGACTCTAGGGGTACAGCTCAGTTAGTAGCATCACAGGCTCTGGGTTTGATCTCAGCACCGCAAAAACTAGGTGTTAGGCCAGCCTGGGCTACAATGAGAACCTGTCAAAAGGATAAATTTGCCTCTGGGTGGTGGTGGGACATGCCTTTAATTCCAGCACTTTGGAGGCAGAAGCAGGCCAATCTCTGTTTAAAAAAAAAAAGAAAAAAGGTTGTCCTGGGACTCACTTTGTAGACCAGGCTGGCCTTAAACTCAGAGAGATCCACCTGCCTCTGATTCCTGAGTACTGTGATTAAAGACTGGTGCCACCATGTTCAGCTGTTTCGTTTTAGGATTTATTTTTATTTTATGTGTATATGTGTATGGGTGTTTTGCCTCCATGTATGTCTGTATACCACATACATGCAGTGCCCAGGGATTCCAGAAGAGGGCATTAGATTTTTTAAAAATATTTATTTATTTATTATGTATACAATATTCTGTCTGTGTGTATGCCTGCAGGCCAGAAGAGGGTACCAGACCTCATTACTGATGGTTGTGAGCCATCACTTGGTTGCTGGGAATTGAACTCAGGACCTTCGAATAAGCAGGCAGTGCTCTTAACCACTGAGTTATCTCTCTAGCCCTGCATTAGATTTTTTAAAAATTTATTAATTTTTTTCATAGTGGTGATGGTAGTTTATCAAGGCAGCTCTGTCTTGGAACTTGATTTGTAGACAAGGCTAGCCTTGAACTCACAGAAATTTGCCTGCCTCTGCCTCCTTAGTTCTGAGATTAAAGGGTGTGCACCATTACCACCCAGCAGGCATTAAATTCTTTAGAACTGAAGTTATAGGTGGTTAATAGCCACCATGTGAGTGCTGGAAACCAAACTCAGGTCCTCTCAGAGCAGCAACACATGGGCTTAACCACTAAGACATCCTTTCAGCCCCTAGGTTTTTTATTTTTTTAAGGTTGAAGATGTTAAGACGGTCTCATACAGTCCCAGCTTTCTCCCATCTTGCTAGGTAGCCAAGGCTGAGCTTGAATTCCTGAGTCTCCTTTCGTCTGCCTGCTAAGTGCTGGGATTACAGAATGCCTGGCCAGTCTTGTGTTTTTTTGTTTATTTGAAATATGTGTGTGTGTATGTATGTATGTATATGTATGTATGTATGTGTGTGTGCCTGTTTGAGTTTGTGTACACCATATGTCTTCAGGTGTCTGAGGAGGCCAGAAGGAGGTGCAGTACAGGTTGTTGTGAGCTGTTCAGTGTGGGTGCTGGGACTGTGTAGGTTCTCAGCAAGAGCAGTAAGTACTCTTAACTGCTGAGCATCTCTCCAACACTCGTCTTAGAGTGTTCTGCCTGCATGTGTGCCTACAGGCCAGAAGAGGGCACCAGATCTCATTACAGATGTTTGTGAGCCACCAAGTGGTTGCTGGGAATTGAACCTGGATCCTCTGGGAAAGCAGCCAGTGCTCTTAACTTCTCAGCCATCTCTCCAGCCCTCATCTTGTGTCTTAAGGGACTCTGGGAAAGTGTTTAGAGCTAGAAAATGCCTTGGAAGGAGTATTGGAAAGGAGGTAGCTGTGTGTGGAGGAGCTGGAAGAAGGAGTCTTCTGGAGAGGCACTTTGGTGATACAGGCCTGACTTGCATTGGGTGACCGTCTGGAGAGAACACACGCAGACCCTGTGACTGGCCAGGCCAGGATGAAGGGAGGAAGTTATCTGTAGAGAGGTTATAGTAGTTACTTGTCGCTGAATAAAATGTCTAAGAAAGATAACTTATGGTGGGAGAGGAGCAGCTTACCTAGAGAGATGGCTCAGCGGTCAAAAGAACTGATTACTCTTCCAGAGGAACCAGGTTCAATTCCCAGCACTCACATGGCGGCTCACAGTCATCTATAACTCCTGTCACAGGGGATCTGTCTCGAGATCCTGTCTCAGGGTTTCTCTGTGTAGCTTTGGTGCCTGTCCTGAAGCTCACTCTATAGACCAGGCTGCCCTCAAACTCAGAGATCCATCTGCCTCTGCCTCCCAAGTGCTGGGATTAAAGGCGTTTGCCGCCACGCCCCGCTACAGGGAGCTGTGTCTGCCTGAGTTCAAGACCAGATTAAACTCTGAAATAATACCCTGTCTCAAGAGATAAACAACAGGGCAAAGTGAATGACTCACTTGGTAGAGTACTTGCCCAGCATGCATAAAGCTGGGTTCAGTTCCCAGCACCCCGAAGAACCAGATGTGATAGTTACATGTCTGTAATTCCAACTGTGAGAGGCAAGAGGATCAGGGTCCTCCTCAGCTACATAGTGAGTCAAGGCCAACCCGGCAACGTGATCATGTCTCACAAAGAACCAAAATGTATTTCCCGTTCTTCTTGTTAGTCCTATTTTTCATTAGAAAGCTAAGGCTCAGAGTTCAGTTGGCTCAGCCTCCTGGGCCCCAACCCTGCCTTTTCCTGCTTCCTGTTCTAAAGAGGAAATCTTCAGGTGCTTAATTGCATTTTAAACACATGTGGTTAGGGTTATGGTAAGAGGCTCTTTGGTGGTTGGAACTATGAGATCAGAATCCATGTGCTCACCGGGCATGCCAGGCACCTGGGCTAGTGATTAGCTCATTGGTAAGCATGCAGACACTAGTCTCTGGAGGTAAGCAGCCAAACAGGAAACTCTGCAGCAGACCCGGTGTCCAGGAGCGGGTTGATAAGGGTTCCCAAGCTGAACACACTTGAACTCAGTCTCTGTGGCAAAACAATAGGTAACTTGGCTCTGGCACCCTGGGAGGCGGATGCAAGAGGATTTCTGTGAGTTCAAGGGCAAATAGGCCTACCTAGTGAATTCCGGGAGCCAGGGATACATGGTGAGACCCTATCTTTCTGTTTTTGGTTCTTTGAGACAGGGTTTCAGTAGCCCTGACCATCCTGGAACTTTTTCAGTAGACCAGGGTGGCCTTGAACTCACTGATATGTCTGCCTCTGTCTCCCAAGTGCTGGGATTAAAGGGGTGCACCACATCAGCCCTGCTACATACTGTTTTGATCTGAACCTTAAGATGTGAGTTCATCAGATAGAACATGTAGGATTTGCAGACTTTGGGTAAACGTGTTACTCCTTCCATTAAACAACAAGAAAAGAAAAATGTTGATGCAACAGGTGGTTCTTTGTTACCTCATTCTGCTTGCAGTGTGGTCAGCAAACATCTTTTTCTAAACAAAAAGAAAGAGGAGGAGGTAAAGAAACATTGTAACCTAGGCTGCCCTTGAATGCACAGTTTTCCAGTTTCAGGCACAAGCCACCATCCCAGCTCTGACATTCTGTTGATGTTATTGTTTTGATTACATTTTTATTTATTTGTTAATATTTTGTTTTTAATTATGTATGAGGGGAGGGAAGTGTGAATGTGGCTGCCAAGAGAGAGCAGAATTACAGGTGGGTATGAGCTACCTGGCATGGGTGCTGGGGACAGAACTCAGGACCTCTGGAAGAGCAGGAAGCACTCCTAACCCCGGAGCCCTCTCTCCAGCTCTTCTCTATAAGTAATGTTGAGTTTGGTGAGAGGCCAGGCCAGTGGGTTGTAGACACCCATCCAGTTTCTTCCCCGGGGCGTTTATGTTGTTCCTCTAACTGTGCCGCCGTCATGTAGTAGAAGGTGGATCTAGACTTACTTAGATGCATACAGTCTCCCTAAACCTTCCTAGGAGCTCTGTCCCTGGTGGCCTTGCTCAGGGTGGAGGCCAGCAGATGTGTGAGCAGCTGTGTGAGATTCGAGCACAGTCCCAGGCCTGAATGAGTGTGGGTCTGTAAGCAGTTCCTGATCTTTGTCCCTGCAATAGTGCGTTGTCCCCGACTCCCAGTTCCTGACCACATCCTCTCTGGCATGACTCCCCTATGGCAAGGGCCATGGGCCAATTTGGGCATCCCCATTTTCTCTCTTCCCCATTTCTCTGTGTTTCAGACAACACAGGCAGCTCCACATACCGACCGCCCCCTCGGACCCGGGAAGTGATGATCAACGGGCAGATGGTGAAGCTGAAATACTGCTTCACCTGTAAGATGTTCCGGCCACCCAGGACCTCGCACTGCAGTGTCTGCGACAACTGTGTGGGTGAGTGGGGGGCCTCAAGGACCCCGAAAGACTGGCAGTGACATCTCTTGACCCAGGGTTGGTATATCCTGTCCCCCTAATCCCTAAGTAATTCTGCAGACAGAGACCTTGATCTTGTCTCCCAGCTTCAGGCCACTCCTCAGTGGGTCCGTGATCCCAGAAGCCTGGAGCAGCTAACACTGAAGGCAGGGGATGATCTCATTGAGAAAGAGACAGGGAGGGTGAGAATCCGGAGGAGTGAGGTGGAGAGCCCAGACCAGAACTGGAAGGTGGCTCTTGCCCACCTTCTTCTGCTTGGTTTGTGCCCTCACCCTGCTCCTCAGAAGCTATACATCTTGGTGAAGAGCCATGATAGTCCCTTGGGAGGGTGTCATAAGGGAGAGTCTGTATGACACCCAAGTGAGCTGAACCATGGTGACAGTGCACAGTTCCCAGGGCAGTGACTTCATCTTGCCAGCTCAGCACTCCCTGAAGAGGGGAGCTGGGACAGCAGGCAGTGAAGTGGGTGACTCAGGGAGTGTTATTCATCCCTGCCAGTCTGCCCCACCCACCTCCTTAGAGGGCACCAGCGTTGGCATAAGGCCTGCAACGGGCTTATGACCCAGATTCCCACAGGGACTTTCCTCACCAGCCTGGGTGTGACTCCTACCCCCAAGGGACTTAGTGCTGGTATGAGCTCAGTCCCTTGCCCTGGCCTCTGGTGCTAGCTCTCCATGAGTTACCTAGCGACCCAGCCCTCTCTGGGCCTCAGGCCCAAAGCTGTTGGCATGTAGTTAGTAATAGGCCATGGTCTATGAGTCTTTGAAGCAGACACTCTGTGGGATCCTGGAGATCTCACCATGTCGTGCATGGATGGCAACACTCACGGGCAAAGCTGTATAAAAGAGTGGTAACAGAGCAGGTGACAGGGCCCCCTGCCTAGTTTGAGGTCACAGGAGACGTTTTAAGGGAGTGGCTTTGTAGTTGACATCAGAAGGAGTTACTATGGAGCTAAAAGAATAGGGAGGAGTGTGTCAGGCAGTGGGTGGGAACTGATGATCAAGGCTAGAAGTCGGGTGTGTCCACGGGAGGGCAGGAGTCAGCTGGTGTTGGGGGTGAGGGGATGGGAGAGCGCCAGCCCGGGGGAGGGCTAGCCACCAGTGCTGGTTGGAGACCCACACTGACTCCTTCCCTTTCTAGAACGGTTTGACCATCACTGCCCCTGGGTGGGCAACTGTGTCGGGAGACGGAACTACCGCTTCTTTTATGCGTTCATCCTCTCCCTCTCCTTCCTGACAGCCTTCATCTTCGCCTGCGTGGTCACCCACCTGACTCTGCGTGAGTGGGGGGACGACAAGGGGTGGAGGAGGACTGGCCAGTGAGCTCAGCCCTAGCAACGGGCTGTAGTCACTACCCCCTGAACTGTGTCTCTGTCTCTTCCTTCCTAGGTTCTCAAGAAAGCGACTTCCTCTCCACTCTGAAACGGACACCAGCAAGATATCTTTTGCCACTTGTCGCCCTGGGTGGGAATTGAGGCCTCTTCGTGGGGTGGGTCTCCAGGGTGGGACAGTAGGGCCATGTTTGTTCTCTGGAATCCACTCTACCAGTTACTGTGTTAGTACCTGCGCTAGAGCTGATTTTAAATGGGTTGTCACGGGGAGTGGCTGCGCACACAACCTCAGGACACTGTCCCTGCTTATAAAGGCCTGGCAAAGACTGGGTTTCTTTTCTTTCTTTCTTTCTTTCTTTCTCTCTCTCTCTCTCTCTCTTTCTCTCTCTCTCTCTTTCTCTCTCTCTCTCTCTTTCTTTCTTTCTTTCTTTCATGTGTATCGTTTTTGCCTGTATGCATGTCTGTGTGAGTGTGTCAGGAGTTAGAGACAGTTGGGAGCTGCCATGTGGGTGCTGGGAATTGAACCTGGGTCCTCTGGAGGAACAGTCAAGTGTACCCAACTACTGAACCATCGCTCTAACCCCCAGAGTGTATTTCTTAATTAAATCTTTGTTTATTTTATCTTGCCTGGGGGGCAGTGGGAGCATGCCACAGCACACAGATAGAGATGGGGGACAGCTTGACATTCAAGCTCAGGTTATCCGGTTTGGTGACAAGTGCCTTTACCATTGAGTCATGTCACCAGCCTGCATGTTCCTTAGGAGGGCAAGCTCCCTGGCCAAGATCCTGTGGTTACAATTCCCTGTGCCAGCGGGGCGGTGGTTGCACACGCCTTTAATCCCAGTACTCAGGAGGCAGAGACAGGATGATCTCTGTGAGATCGAGGCCAGCCTGGTCTACAAGAGCTAGTTCCAGGACAGGCACCGAAGCTACAGAGAAACCCTGTCTCGAAAAACGAAAATAATGTAAAATAAAACAAAACAAAAGAATTCCCCGTGCCATCCCTAGCCCAGATCCTCAGGACTCCCGCCTGTTTCTGGGGTGCAGGAGGGGATCTGCCGAGAATGATGACTGGAAACCTGCCGCTGTGGGGAATAGCTCTAGGGAAGGCTGGTGAGAAGTGAACACAGGGTCCCAGGGTCTCTGCCCTCCCCCACATATGTGTCCTTGACGGTTCCACTGTGCTGGAGTTGGTCATCTGCTTCTTCTCCATCTGGTCCATCCTGGGCCTCTCAGGGTTCCACACTTACCTCGTCGCCTCCAACCTGACAACTAACGAAGACGTGAGTAAAGCTGGGGACTGGGGAGCTTGGCTGTGTCCTTGACGCATTGCATCCTGCTTGTGACAGAACTGGGATCCATACTCCCGTGCATGGTGTGCTTGAGAGATGTGGCCTTTGGGAAAGGGCCAGTCCAGGACTGATGCCCAGAAGTCACGACCCCGACTTCGCATCTCCCACACTACACCTGTAGGCAGCAGAGTTCTGACTGGGGTCCAGAAGTCTGTGCACTGAGAGGCATTGTTAGAACAGAAAGGCGCGGCCCCATTGCCCTCCCAGCTACTCACTTGGAAGCCATCGCTAGCCATCATTATCTGAGTACCCACTGTCCCCAGTCCAGACATGACCTCCCCTCACCGTCCTCCAGCCTGAAAAAGAAAACGGTACTGTATGTTTCCAGGTTTGCTGTACAACATTGATCAGAGGCCCCACCATCAAAAAGAAAATGGGTCCACTTTAGACGAGGCATGGTGGGCAGGCCTGTAATCCTGGCACTTTGTAGACTGGGGCAAGAGGGCCCATGGTTTGGCTTGAGGCTAGTTTGGGCTGTGTGGGGAGATACTGACTTAGCAAATTAAAAGGGGGGTTGGGAAGAGAAAGAAAAGGAGCTCAGTCTGGTGACCCAGGCCCGGAATCCCAGCTGCTCTAGAGACCAGGACAGGAATTCCAAACTCAAGGTGAGAATGGACAGTCTGTCTCAATCAAAAAGTAAAAAGAGGACAGGGAAGTAGTTCAGTGGAAGAACACTTGCCTAGCATGGGCAAGGCCTTGCCTTCAATCTCAGTATCCAGAGATGGAGGAGGGACTGGAGAGCATCCACATGATAGTGTACACGTGTGTAACCCTGCTGTAACTAGTCCTAGGTAATCCGGTGCCCTCTGCTGACCTCCTCCAGCACTGCACACATGTGATGCACATGCATGTGGGCAAGACACTCATATGCATAGAATAGATAATAAACGGAAGAATGAGAAGGAGGCCATCTCCAGGAGCAGTGGCACACACACGTTATCCCAGCACATGCATGTTATCCCAGCACTTGAAAGGTGGAAACAGGAAGATGAGGAATTCAAGGTCATCCTTGGCTACATAGAAATTTGGAGACTGGGGCTGGAGAGATGGCTCAGTGGTTAAGAGCACTGACTGCTCTTCCAGAGGTCCCAGGTTCAATTCCCAGCACCCACATGGCAGCTCACAACTGTCTGTGACTCCAGTTCTAGTGGACTCCACACGCTCACACAGATACACACACAGGCAAAATACCAAAATGCACATAAAATAAATCAGTTGTTTATTTAAAAAAAAAGAAAAAGTTGGAGGCTACTTCAGGATATATATGACCAGCCTGGTCTGCAAACTGAGTTCTAGGACACAGAGAAACCCTGTCTCAAAAAACCAAACCAAAAAGAAGAAAGAAAAAAAAAATCCCACATCCTCTCACAGTCTCATTCGAGAAAACAGAACTGGACACATTGATAAGGGCAGAAAGGGCATCAGCCCCAGCCCACCCCATCACCAGTGGGTTTCCCGAGTGCCGGTTCTGCAGGGTCTTACTGGAACTTAAGCAGAAAGGGGTGCTTGGCCCAGCAAGTGTGGAAACTTCTGGGTGACAATCAAATGGGTCTTTCCTGCTGAGCCCCTCAATGGCGTCAACTGAGGGCTTCCCTAGGCAGAAAGGATGTCCAAGGTCATATAGTTGAATGGCAGGGTCAGAGTGGTTCCGCCTGCTTCGTGCCCTCAACCCTGCCCTCCCTCTTAGTTGGTGTTCTAGTTAGCGTCACTGTTGCTGAGATGAAACACCAAGACCAAAAGCAAATTGGGGAGGAAAGGGTTTATTTGGCTTACATTTCCACATCACCATCATCAAAGGGAGTCAGGACAGGAACTCAAACCGGGAAGGAACCTGGGGGCAGGAGTTGATTCAGACACCAAGGAGGGTGCTGCTTACTGGCCTGTTCAGTCTGCGGCCTGCTTTGTTTTTATTTTTTGAGACAGGGTTTCTCTGTGTAGCTTTTGGAGCTTGTCCTGGAACTCACTCTGTACATTAGGCTGGCCTCGAATTCACAAAGATCTGCCTGCCTCTGTCGCCCAAGTGCTGGGATTAAAGGCATGTGCCATCACCACTCAACCAGCCTGCTTTCTTACAGAACCCAGGACCACTAGCCCAGGGATGACTCCATTCACAGTGGGCTGCCCCTCACCCCATCAATCACTAATTAATAAAATGTCCTACAGGTTTGCCTATAGCCAGATTTTAGAGAGACATTTTCTTAATTGAGGTTCCCTCTTTCAGATAAGGCTAGCTTGTATCGAGTTGATGTCAAGCTGTCCGGCACAGGTGGGAAGCCAGGGTAGAGATGGTCTACCCAAACATCTTCTTCTGGAGACTTCCTTTTGGTTGTCCTCTGTACTAGTGGGTGCTCCACTGAAGACATACTCCCTCCAACAGAACTGGTTTCTAAGTGGGACTCTTGCTGGCCTCTGGGTTCCATTTCTAGGAGGTGAAGCAAAAGGAGGCAGCTGTGACGAGAGCAGTTCCCAGGGGAGGGCTTGCCTGGGTGCAGAAGGAGCTCACTGGTTGCTACTTCGCATGTATAATCCTCAGCACTGCTAGAGGAAGTGGGGATGGACGGAGGCAGCTTACCCAGCTTCTTCTCTTTCCAGATCAAAGGGTCTTGGTCCAGCAAGAGGGGCGGTGAGGCCTCTGTCAACCCCTACAGCCATAAAAGTATTGTCACCAACTGCTGTGCTGTGCTCTGTGGCCCCCTACCTCCCAGGTAAGCCAGGACTTGTAAGAGAGGTTACAGGGAGATGACTCTGAGTCTGGACCCCTCCTGGGAGTTCTGGAGGGTCTGGATCTTAGCAGGCCTTTCTCCCTGCACAGATATGGATTCCATTTGCCATCCTCTATTCTGCTGGATGACTGAGAAATTCTGAGGATGGCTGTTAGTTTTAATCACATTTGCTCATGTGTAGAATAAAAATAAGTACAACCAGGTGTGGTTGTACCTGCCTGTAATCCTTGCACTTGAAGACTGAGGTAGGAGGATTGCTTCATGTTCAAGTCCAGCCCAGTGACACTGTTTCAAAGGGGGAAACATACAAAATAGTAAAGATCATGGGGTATTCTGTGTAACCCTACTTCCCAGAGATACCACAGTGACTGTCATGACCACATGACCTGCCTTTCTTCTGCAGAGTGAGGTCACCATCATGTTCCTCGGGAACGTTGGTGTTTCAACCCTGCTGACAGCAGGGGGCACCAGAGTTCCAGAACCGGAGTTAAATGTTCATGGGCACTGTGCGGGGGCAAGACCTTCACCTTCCTTACACAGATGTGCCCCACCTAGGGAGACAGGACACTAGGCCTCTCCGTGACTCCGAATAGCTGTTCTTTCTCTCACTTGCAGCCTGGCTCCTTGGCGTGCAGACAGCTGAGTCCGTTTGAATTAACAATGAATAAACTTGGGAGACAGAGGCAGGTCGGAAGTCCTAGATCATCTTCAGCCACATCCTCAGGTAGCAAGGCTACTTGGGATCCTGTCTCAAGAAACAAAAACATTCTGGCATGGTGGCACTGCTTTATGCGGCCCCTCACTTTTTTTTTTTTTTAAGACAGTTTCTCTGTATAGTCCTGGCTGTCTGTAACTCGCCCTGTAGACCAGGCTGACCTCAAACTCTCCAAGATCCGCCTGCCTCTGGGTTCCTAATGCTGGGATTACAGGTGTACACTGCCACCCAGGAGTACTTGCCTTTTTAATCTTAACAGAAACAAGCAGATCTTTGAGCAGGAGCAGCTTGGTCTACATCATGAATTCTAGGATAGTCTATAATCTCTAGAGCTAGAGTACATAGTGAGACAATGCCTAAAAATAGTAGTAATAAAATAAACAACAAAACCAAACTAATGAATGAATTATATGGCAAAAGCCAGGTGCACAGAAGGTCTTATTTTAAATGTATTTACTTGTATGTGTGTGTATGCACCTACAAATGGTGTGCATATGGAAGTCATGAGTCCTTGGACTTGAACCAAGTCATCATCAGGCTTGGTGGCAAACACCTTCGCCCATTAAACAACTGAATGGAAAGCAGCCTCCGTTTGCCCAGCTTTTCTAGGGCTGGATCTTTTCTGGGAAGACATTGTCTGTTGTCACATGTCTAGAGCCTTGTCAGAGGCTCATGCCCTGTCCTTATGTTTTGGAAGCCTGATCGACCGGCGGGGATTCGTGCAGTCTGACGCTGTGTTGCCCTCGCCCATCAGAAGTGACGAGCCAGCCTGTGGGGCCAAGCCAGACGCCAGCATGGTAGGAGGCCACCCCTGAATGTGACTCAGTGCTTGCCACCTGCCGCCCTCCACGCCTGCCGGGACCCTCCCCATACCATCCGAGGGAAGCAGAGCTGCCAAAGACTCAAGTCTTTTCGTATTTATTTCCCATCCTGCACAGCTTTCTCTGAACTGCCACGTAGCTGTGCCCTCTTGCTCCTCAAACCCAGGTTCCCACAGTTTGGGCCCTAGGTTCCTGAACTGATCAGTGGCAGGAGAGGAGAGCCACAGCCTCTGGAGGCCACCAGAGAACCATGCCAAGTCACTGCCTGTGCCCAGGGAGACCCAGTGTGAGTGAGGGTGTGAACTGAGTGGGCGACCTCCCAGCCGGAGGCATGCTTGGACCCTGGGGAGCCGGGGCTTCTGGAAGCAGGACTGCTGAGCAGCTGGCCCTGAAGCACAGGTGGCAGGCCAGCACCTGCCCTTGGACTCCTAGTCTGGGGCTCCCGCATTCCCTTTGAGATGAGCAAGGCTATTTTGGTGGTCTTTGGGGCGGGGGGTATATGGAATTGGCCAGTAGGATAGAGCTGGGGTACCAGTAGAGAGCATGGGCAGGGGTGGGAGACAGCCTGTTGGAGGAAGCCAAACCAGCCATCCAGGCCCCAGAACCTCAGCTCCTATAGAGTTCTGGGCAGCACAGTAGGAATGGGAATGGGGACCCTGCCTTCCCCAACCCATGGAGACTCTCAAGGATCCTTTCCTGTGCCGCCACCCCCCCAGTCTCTTCCAAGTCAGAGCTAGAGATGGGTGGGTTAGGTGATGCTGGCAATACTTGAAATGGGTTTATTAATGCTGGGTATTTTGCACAATTTTATAGACCTCTTTTTTACATGGCCTTTTTTTAAAAATAGAAGTTAATGTGTTACTATCTGTGTAGTGCCAAGTCAAGGATTTTCAGAAGGCTAGGTGGTTTAATAAATGTTTTACAGCAGATCTAGCTATGAGTGTGTGTGTGTGTGTGTGTGTGTGTGTGTGTGTGGCCCCGCCTGTGTACAAATACAGCTGACTTCCATATCCCTGGGCTCTTCCGTTTCTCTCTTGCCCTGTGTTCAGAAGCAGCCTGACGTGTAGGGGCTGGGAAGATGGTGCATTAATCACAAGAGACCCCTGGGCTCCTGCTTTTCCCTTCTGCCATAGCCTTCAGACAACCAGTGGCTAGGGACTCTGCCACCCAGCCCCTAGGTCAGGCTCCCAGCCGTAACCTGCCCCAACAGGCTGAGGCTAGGTGTGGTGGGTGGGGTGACCGGGTCTGGGGAGTGAGGAGCAGCTGCCATTCTGCAAGCCACACCCCCATCTTGGCTTTCTGCTCTGTATATGCCCCCCCCCATGCTAGAGAGTAAGAGACAACACATTTCTGCTAATTAGGAATGAAGGAAGAAGCAGAAAAGGCCAGGAGGCGTGTGGGTTGGCCAGGACCTCATAGCACATCGTCCTGCTGCTGGGATCTGTAGTTTCTAATCAAAATAGAGACGTGTTCTTTTAGGACCCTCACTTTGGCCCTTCAGGTCAGGTGAGCTGATCATAGCATAGAAAGTCAGTCCAACTTCACTTCCTTGCTCCTAAGGCCAGTGGGCCCAGACAGCTGGGGAGTGTGCTAGCCGGGAGAAACCGCTTCAGAGCCCTAGGCCATCCTGCAGTGGCTCTGGGAGGTAGATGAGGGGCTGGAGGAGGCTCCCTAACCTGCCTTTTATTTAAGCCAGTATTTGTTCCTGCTTGTAATAAAACTTACGTTTTTAAGAGCTAATTTGCTTTGGTTTGGTTTTTGTTGGCTTTTATTTTGCCGAGTTCCTGGCTTGCAGCATAGCTCTGGGTTCTTTCCTGGGAAATGGGAGGCAGGCAGCCTGGTGATGGCGGGAACTCTGCAGCAGAGGGGCTGTGGCTGACCCGCCTTCACCATGTCTGCCTTCTTGTGCCTCAGGAATTGGTACTTCCTGAGCTCTTTCCTGCTAACTTTGCACCCCGATCCCCGTTGATTACTCAGCTAAAGACATGTTTGAGACAGTAGGTCCAAGTTGGAGCTTCTTATCCCTGCCCCAACCCAAACCTCCTAGGTAGCCAGAACAGCCAGGCAGGTTATAACATAGGCCAACCTCTCTGGTATCTCCTCCAGGAGGACACCTGTCAGGACTTTGCCATCTCCTGCACAGCCTGAGGGGAGCTAACAGGCCTCTCTGCAGAGGGTTAGCTGGTAAGACCGTATCTCACCTGTCAGCCAGCCCTGGCCATTCTCACACACCATCTCATCAATGCATGCCTCACCAACTTCACCGAGTCCATCCATCTCTGTCTGATGTGTGGTGTGGTGTGTGTGCTGGTGGTGGCAGGTCCCCAGGAATCCCCCCCCCAACAACAGAAGGCTCTTAGTCCTGCCCACTCCTTCCTTGGATTGAGGCTCCCTCAGAGCACCTGTCCCTTCAGAAGAGGAAGGGTGAGATGGGGAAGGTGGCACACCTGCCCTGCGAGGCCTGGCCAGTGCTGTTGGTGGACTGGTGTGCAGGGCCCTCAGGTCACTAGCACCTCTGCATCCTGCTTTGTGCCCCCGCCAAGCCCCCTCGCCTGCCGCTGTTCCTCTCCCGCTCTGTTGCCTGCTGCCTGAGCTTCGGCCCTTTTCTGGGGGAGAGGCAGGTACTGTGGTACCTTTGACCCCACTTGGGGCCCCTGCAGGCCACCCTTTCCATCATCCATCCGCTAACCCTTTCTCTTCTCCTCCTTTGCCATCCTGCGGGATCATCCAGTACGTGCGGGGGCTGAAGGAGCTCCTGAGGACCGCCACTCTTTGCCTCTCCAGGAGTGGCCTGGGGGGAGCCAGGCACCCTGCGCCTCCACCTGCCTAGCCCGTGGCCCGTCTGCCACCATCTGTGCCTACAGGGTCTGTCCCCCAGCCTGTCCTACTTGTGTGCTCTCTAGAGCTCCCCACAGCGGGCAGGTGTTGACCTCTTGGCCCCTGCCCCTACTCCTTGCTGGCCAGAGTATAGAAAGCCATACTGCAGCCTCAACACAATACCCACTGCTGTAACCCTGCTAATCTTCCCCCTCTCCTCCTCCCCTCATGCCCCTTCCCCAGATGTGTGAGGTGTCAAGACTCTTCAGGAATCTTGCCTTACAGCCTCCCCCCAGTCAGCACAGCCATAGGCAAGCCAAGCAGGTTCCTTCGGGAGCTATCTGGGTGTCGATGACGCTGCTGAACAAGTTTGGTGACTGTTCTGAGCACAACGGCTCAACACTGTTCCCACGCCCCCATCCCCCCAGGAGGATGCGAAGTGTGAGCCTGTGTATCCCGCTCCAGGCACCAAGGGCCGGCTACACAGCTCCACTTCTTCCAGGGACCCAAAGGGAACTGGGCCAGACCTGGGAAGACTAGCTGCGCCCAGCACGGGGCCGCTCACCTGCTGTCCACTACCTTTTCTAACAGAAATAAAGAGCCCCTCTTCTTGCTGGAGCCTTGAGTGTGTCTCACCCCTTTCCTTCAGGGCCATGGGTGTGGCCGGCTGTAGATGTGAGAGAATGACTGTCTCCCTCACAGCCCTGGCCAGGTAGCGCTGCTCTGGAGACAGGCCCGGAGGGACATAGGGAAAGGGACCTCTTGGCTCTCTCTCCAGAAGTTGTTTCCTCCCCAGAGACCTTCAAGGCTTAGTTGAAGTTTGAAAAGCCCTGCCTAGTCCAAAATAGGGGGTGAGGGGGTGTCAAACTCCAGTCTGAGGCTCACATTCCCCAATTGAGCCCAACCCAAGGTAGGTCCATAGAGTCCTTTCTCTCATTCCCTAGATGCCTTCCCACATGGACACACTGTGCTCTGGGGTGGTACACGTCTGTAATCCCAGCAGGAGGATCAGTTCAAAGCATCCTCGACTACACAGTAAGCTCAAGGCTAGCCTGGGCTGCATAAGATCCTGTCTTAAACAAACAAACAAAAAACGGAAAAGAACCTGATGCCCCAAGTTCAATTCCCAGACCCATAGAAGTGAACTGAGAACCAATTGCTCAGAGTTGTCTTCTAATTCCACTGTGTTTACTGTGGTTCATGTGCACACACACAAACACAGGATAAGTAAAGATAAATTAGAAGAAAAAACCGGGCTGGAGGGATGGCTCAGTGTTTAGAAACACTGGCTGCTCTTCCAGAGGACCCAGGTTCAATTCCTAGCACCCATATGGCGGCTCACCACTGTCTGTAACTCCACTTCCAGGAGATCTGACACCCTCACACAACTATAACATGCAGGCAAAACACCAATGTACATAAAGTACATTGTACATTTAAAAAAAAAAAAAAAGCCCAGGCGGACAGGGTTACTGTTGCTGTTTATCAGGGCTTGCCTATGTATTTGACTGTTTTTTTCCCCGGTAACCAAAGAGAAAGGTGATCTCAGCTCTCTTACAAATGAGAACAGACTCAAAGAAAGTCACCGAACCAACAACTGTGTGACCCTAGCAGAAGAGGGTGGGGTCTTGGAGAAGCCCTAAACTTGGAGATGCCATACCCAGGAGGGGGCTGCCAGCCTCCTGTTACCAGTGGGGAGGCCTAAGCCCAGGGGCAGGAAGGGACCTGTCCAAAGCCTCTTATGACCCTACTGGAATGCAGTTCTACACGCTGACCTCATTCAGTTCTGTCTCTATAAATTCCACACTGTCTCCTACCCGAGATTGGCTTAGCAGAGGGGGGGCTTGCTCCAACAGCAGTAATGTAGAAGGAAAGGAGGCAGACAGGTCACCTGAGCATCCTCTGCTCTAACCCTTCCCAAAGGCAGCAGACAGCTCTCAGCTACAGAGCTGAACTCTTTCGACCAATCACAAAACCCTCTGATCTACTGTTGAATTTGATCATTCCAATGCCAAAAATTACCTCGGAAGTTACTAGAAAAGGTTTGCCAGTTGTGGGAGATTCTTTCTAGACTCTGATAAGAATCCCTCTTCCTGCAGTCAGGAGGGCAGTGACCACCAGGATGAGGCGAGCCCCCTGGACTGTAGCCCGATCTGTCCTGCTGACTCAGGCAGCCGCTGCAGAGTTCCACGCTCTGCCGGGACCTGCTGCCTCCTGCCTACCTGGGCTCCTGGACTTGGGAAGTAGAAGCCTGGAGGCAAAGGGAGGCAACTGAGACAGGAACTGAGTCAGATCTCCAGGCCAGAGCCAGCAGGAGTGTCAAGCAGTCCGACTTCAGTGGTGGAGCAGTGAGAGGCTTGTAGGGCCTGGAACCTGACTGTAGCCACCCACCAGGTCCCCGGCTTAAGAGGCGTGAGCAAGTGCTCCTTTTGTGGGCTTTGAATTATGCCAGGCCCCATGGTCCAAGCTCCTAGTGTCCTGGGATCTCCAAGTTGCCCCCAGGACTGGGGGAAGCCCAGGCTGGATGACTAGTGCTAAGGAAAACCCTTGAAGGCTGAGCGGAATGTTCCAGATGGAAAGGGAGGAGTCGGTGCAGATTGTACCATTTGTCAGTCTGGAGAGAAGTCTGGGCAGAGGACCCCTTTTCTGCCGTGGACACCTGGCTGGGCCACATGGTATGGTCCGTTCATGATCTTTCTGCATCCGTAGAACCCAGCTACAAAAGAAAAAGAAAGAAAAACCAGGGATGGAGCTGGTGATGTGGTTTAACTAGTAGAGCTCTGGGGACTCACTCGTGGGGACAACCCCAGCACTACCGCATACACCAAGCGTGGCAGCACTCCGTATGTAGACCAGACCGGCCTCGAACTTGCAGATAGCCTCCCCCTCTGCTTCTGCCTCATGAATGTTGGGATTACGGAGGTATTGCCAGTCTATATAGGACTGGGGACCCAACTCCATACATGCTAGGCAGGAACTCTACCGAGTTGCATTCCCAACCCCTCCCTTTTTTTTCTGGGGGTCGGGGGTGGGGGTGCAGCCTGTCTCTTTGGAGCCAAGCTGGCCACCAACTGGAACTCCTCTGTCAGCCCACCTGAGTACTGAGACTCTGGGCGTGCCCTCTGTGTCCTTCCCCAACTTGATATTTCCGAGGAGTTTCCTTCCTTCCTTTCCTGTGGCTGTGCTCTGAGCCCTTAGATCTCAGGAGGGAAACCCCACGGAATTAGCCAGGATCTGGAGAGCCCCTACTCTTGTGACATAAACACACCCAGCCTGTCTTCAGAGTTTTGGCCTACACCTCCCTCCCAGAGGCAAGGTGCATGGTCAGGCATGAGGAGGGGAGAGCAGGGGGAGAGGGAAGTGGGGTGGCGGAGAAACGGAAAAGGTAGGCAAGGCAATGTAATAGTTAGTAGTCCTGCTTCAAGGATTCGGTGGGCTGGGTCCCAGGAAGAAGGTTCCTTAGAAGGGATTCTGGAGTCACAGTCACATCTAAACTGCTGGGGGGGGGGGGGCAGATAAGCAGGAACCCTACCCTCAGTGTCAGGGGGGCGTGGCGGGAGCAGATAAGCAGGAACCCTACCCTCAGTGCCCATACTCTTGACAAAGCTTGAAGACCCAACCAAACAGGGACAGGAAGTTGGGGACAATGTGGTCTCCATCTCTGTGGACGCTTCCCTCTGGCTGGAGATGAGGCCTTGATCAAGGAGAAGGTACTAGAACCTCTGGGAGCGAGGGGGATGGGAGGGGAGAATCTCCCTGAGCTGGAATGGCTGCTCCATAAAACAAAATGGTACGCGTCATTCCTAGCTCCTTCTCCTCAGCCCTGTCTTCCTGCCCAGGTTGCTAGCGTCCCCCCTGGGGGACCAAACTGGACTGAGCACCCCATGACCTGCTTCCCAGCCTCTGACGAGGCAATCTGAGTCAGGCAAGAGTGGGGCAGTCAAAGAGCTGTGCCCCATGCCCCCGCCCTCTGTGAGCCCTGCTGATACATGACGGCAGGCAGCCTGCAAGGACGGGTGACCTGATGTGGAGAACCAGCGAGTAAGGTCTCAGACAAGTGTCAACAGGCCACCGACTTGAAAGGGAAAATTGTGCTGTAATGGGGAAGGTGTCCAACAAACCTGTGGGGTGACTAATTACAAAGACTAGACCGGAGCTTCAGAGGCCACTCGCTAAACACTTCATTAAGTGGCACCCTGAAATGCCACCTGCGCATTCTGGGAGTTCAGAGGGGACCCTGAAGGAGAACAGTACCAAGGGATGGAACAGTCTTTGGGCCGACTCGGGCAGAAGTCTGGCTCTCAATTCCAGATAATGGCTCCCAGGCCAGAGGCCTCAATGCGGGGAAAGTCTGAAGAAACAGCTTGTGACTTTAAGCAGTTTCTCCCCTTGAGAGTTGATGCTTCCGCCTGCAGTCCCACAGAGTCATCAAGGGGATTATATCAGACCATGGGTGCTAAAGGGTTGGGAAACCGTACAGCCCTGCCTACACGTGAATTCTCACCTGACCCATCCCAGCCCTCTGCGCCAGCTCACGAGGCTCTGCCGAGGCTAACGTACCCCAGTGACTGAAGTCATCCTTGCCCTTGGAAGGACACCCAAGAACACCCTACCCTGAAAGACAATCTCAGTTGGTAATCCAGAACGCTCCTGCAATGCAGCTCTGAACAGCAGGGGGCAGTCTGGAGCCTGAAAGATGCCTGTTCAGGTGGGACCCACAGCCAGGTTTCTCCCGCTGACTGTCCCGATGACTCACCCCGCACATCCCAGCCCTTTTACCTTTAAGGAAGAGCCGGAAAGGGTGTGGGGAGAAGAGGAGGAGGCAGGGCCCAAGGCCCAGGCCCGCCCAGGCCCCTCCCAACCCTTCTCCAGGTCTTGTCACCCCAGCCAAAAGGCAGACCGAGAGCAAGAGCAGCACAGAATCCAGCATTGGTCTCACGGCAGCCAGTTCGCCCGCCTGTCTGTCCTCGGAGTCATGGAGAGAGCCAGTCTGATCCAGAAGGCCAAGTTGGCCGAGCAGGCCGAACGCTATGAGGACATGGCAGCCTTCATGAAGGGTGCCGTGGAGAAGGGTGAGGAACTCTCCTGCGAGGAGCGGAATCTGCTCTCCGTGGCCTACAAGAATGTGGTGGGCGGCCAGAGAGCGGCCTGGAGAGTCCTGTCCAGCATCGAGCAGAAGAGCAACGAGGAGGGGTCAGAGGAGAAGGGCCCCGAGGTGAAAGAGTACCGGGAGAAGGTAGAGACGGAGCTCCGAGGTGTGTGCGACACCGTGCTGGGCCTGCTGGACTCCCACCTCATCAAAGAGGCCGGAGAGGCAGAAAGCCGGGTCTTCTACCTGAAGATGAAGGGTGACTACTACCGCTATCTGGCCGAGGTGGCCACTGGCGATGACAAGAAGCGCATCATCGATTCTGCCCGCTCAGCCTACCAAGAGGCCATGGACATCAGCAAGAAGGAGATGCCGCCCACCAACCCCATACGCCTGGGCCTGGCCCTGAACTTTTCTGTCTTCCACTATGAGATAGCCAACAGCCCCGAGGAGGCCATCTCACTGGCCAAGACCACCTTCGACGAGGCCATGGCCGATCTGCACACCCTCAATGAGGACTCCTACAAGGACAGCACCCTCATTATGCAGTTGCTGAGAGACAACCTGACGCTGTGGACAGCCGACAATGCTGGGGAAGAGGGTGGAGAAGCTCCGGAGGAGCCCCAGAGCTGAAGCCGTCTGCTCCCTCCCTGCCCTGCCTTGCCTTCCAGTCCCCAGTCAGCAGAGAGGACTAATACGGAGTGGGACCCGGCCCTTCCCACCCGCCGAATGTTCTGCCACACCCTAAAAGCCTCCTTGAAAGGGGTGCAGCCAGGCTGAGGCCACCAGGGGCTGGGGATCCCACTCTTCATGCAGCTATCTGGTGGGGGTTCCTAGCCCTGCCCACCCCTGCTCTCTGCACCCCGACTTCCTTACACCACTCCTGAACCTGCCCCCAGCCCCCTCCGTGCCTCCCTCTCCTACCTGTTGCTTCTAGATCCTAGGAATCGAGGAGGCTCCCACCCCTGTGGCTGGGACCTGGACTGAGGCAAGGGCTATCTATGTGTGTGTGTGCGACTGTGTGTGTGAGAGAATGAGAAGGAACACATGTTTGCTGGGTGTGACCATGTTTCCTCTCAATAAAATTGCCCTGTGACATTCCTGTCTTCTTCAGTTTATTGACCATGGACTGGGAGTGGAACGGAAGTGAGTTAGAGAACCTGACCCTAGCACACTGAGTAGGGCCTAAAGTTCCCTCGGGTCTGCCTGGGTGGCCTGGAAGGGAGAAGAGCCTTTGGGTCGGGTGACTTCAGGTGAGAGGCCGTCGCGAAGCCCCACAGCGCTCCCGTTCAGACCAGGTGAGCAGAAAGGCAGGTCAGGAGAGGAGAGGTGAGCAGTTGCTGTGGGCGGGAAAGCCGCAAAGCTCCGTTGTGGCGGGAGCCACGAAGCCACTGAAGTCTGAGCACAGTGGCCTCAGAGACGCGCTTCACGAGGGGCACCGAGCACCTCACATCTGAAAGCGGGAACCGAGCACATCTAGGGCTCAGGTCGGAGCAGAGGTGTGCACGATCGGAGGCAGGGGCATAGTGCCTCCACTAAAAACCCAGATCTAATAAGGGAAAGCTCTCCAAGGCCCAGTGATTCAAGGTGGGGCCAAAAGGAAACCCGCTGGCGAGGAGTCGGCGCGAGCTGGGTGGGAAGGGCCGCAGGAAGCCCGGCTGGACCAGTCCACGGCCCGCGCACCTTGCAGGCAGCGACTTGCACCAGCCCGCCGCAGCGATCAGAAACCTTCAGCTTACGGCCCAATCACAGGACGGGTTTTCCACAGAGTCCGCCCCCGGAACCCGATTGGCCAATGGGAGAACGAACGGCGAGTATGTCCCGCCTCCCGCCCCGCGGCCCTGCTACACCTCGCGGAAAGACGAAGCTGAGTCCCCGGGGTCCACGGAGCGCAGCGGGGCGGGGCCTTCCCGGTTTCACTCCGACAAGTTGTCACCCGCCCGACTCGGGAGCTCGTCCCCCACCCCCGGGAGCAACGGGACAGGGCGGGGTCGTGCGCAACATTTTGTCTCCTCCCTTTGAGTCATCGGCTCACCTGGCGGTGTCTGAGTCGGCTGGAAAAAGTCCAGGACGCTCTTCTCAGAGCATCATTGGCAGACCAGCCGCTGGTCGCCAGCAGGCTTAAGTTGTGACCTTTGCAGCCCGGAGAAACCATGACACCTCCCTGCGCCTCAGTTTCCCTTTTGTATCACTAAAGGTTCCCCAGTTACACAAAGTGAAAAGCGGGGGCCCTGCTTGGGTGTAAGGCTTAAGCTGCCGCGCTTGAGGCTCTTAACGTTTGGATCCTCTTTTGAAAACGGGTAGGAGTGGGAATTTAAGAAATTCATTTCTAGGCAGAGCACGGTGGGCCATACCTTTAACCCGAGCACTCTGAGGCAGGGTGGAACTTTCTGAGTTCCAGGTCAGCTTGGTCAAAATAGCAAGTTCCAGACCATCCAAGGTTACATAACAAGAACCTATCTAAAAAAACAAAACCACATAAATAAAAAATTCAAAGTCCAATTCTAGCCAGGCGGTGGTGGCGCCCGCCTTTAATCCTAGCACTTGGGAGGCAGAGACAGGTGCATCTCAGAGTTCGAGGCCAGCCTGATCTACAGAGTGAGTTCCAGGATAGCCAAGACTATGGAAACACTGTCTCGAAAGGAAATGAAACAAAACAAAACAAAACCAAAAAGTTCAAGCCTAGGCAGGGCATGGTAGCACAAGCATTTGGGAGGCAAGAGCAGGCAGATCTCTGTGAGTTTGAGGCTAACCTGGGCTACATAGGGAGTTCCAGGCCAGCAGGGCTATATAGTGAGACCCTGCCTCCAAAATAAAATAAAATAAAAAGGATGTGCCCAGAGCAGCAGATGGTACATGCTTACTAAACATTAATCCTTCCAGGAGCTGGGGTGGGGCTCAGCTTATCGGACTTCCAAGGACCTGGACTCAGGCCCCAGTGCTGCGAAAGAAAGGGAGGTGACCCTGGGAAATGTTAGCGATGAAGTCTTCCGGCCAGTGTCAGTCCTTCTCAGATTTATCCAGAATTTCTGACCCAAAACACAGTGAGCATTTGGTCCAGTCTTTATTAAAGTTGCCCTGCTGCTCTTCGGGCTTGGGGCTGGAGAGGTGACTACGTGGTTAAGAGCCCTGACTGCTCTTCCAGAGGACCCAGGTTCAACTTCCAGCACAAACATGGCAGCTCAGGAGACCGGAAACTTCTCATGGCAAAACACTAGTGCACATAAAATTTTAAAAAAAGAAAGAAAGAAAAAAGAAAGATAAAGAAAGCTGGCTTGGCAGCAAGGACTCTTTCTGGAAAAGGTAAGTGAGCTCAGCCCAGACTTAATGAGTTCTCCAGAGTCCAGGTTTGGCTACACTACACCTATGGTCTTCTTGTTAGGGGCTCCTGTTACAGCCCCTAGCTCTTCAGGGAAGCTGCAGGATGTCTTTGGAGTCTTTGGAGCTTTCTGGGTCCTCTGCTTTCTCATTTCCTGGTGATGTATGGGGTTTCAAGGTTCCCAAGCCACAAAGAGTCTGGGCGAGGGCAGGGATCTCCATTCATCTCTGGAGGTGACCCGGTTTCTTTCCACCAGACAGGTCTGGTGACTTTCTCTTAATGGGATAGGTCCTGGGAAAGGGACTCCCGTCTCTCAGCCTCTGCCTTCTGTGTGTTGACTCCAGACCATGCATGGCTGCCCTACCCTGGAAATGAGTGGACGAGAGCTGCCCTAAGGTATCCTGCTGGGTCAAGGATGTTCATCCTGAGGTGCCCTGCTCTGACCATGCTGGTCATTAGCTCCAGATCGTAGCTGTTTTAGGCTGTAACCTTCTTCCAAAGTGGTTTCAGAACTCTCTGTCTATGGCATGTTAAAAAAAATTATGGGGTGGAGAGATGGTTCAGCAGTTAAGAGCACTAGGTGAGTTTGGTTTCCAGCACCCACTTGGTGTCTGACAACTGTCTGCAGCGCTGACTCCAGGGGTCTGATGCATTTCTGACTTCTATGGACACAGGCACGGGCATGCTACACAGGCAAATACGCAGATAAAACGCCCTTATAAGCAGAAATAAATTTTAAAAAAGTTTTAAAAATGATGGCCATCTTTTCCTGGTCTAGGTGTGATATTTAAAAAGTTTCAGTCCCACTGGGTGTGGCGGCCCACACCTTTAATCCTGACACTCGGGAGGTCAGGTGAAGGAAGATCTCCCTGTGTTCAAACCCTAAAACCACGGACTGCAAAAGACTGCCCCAGACAGCCACACGGGAAAGAATGCAGAGTTCCACTGGAAACTGGTGGTTCCGCTTCCCTCTCCCACGTGGATCACGTTCTCTTAAGTCAAGAAATTATAAAGCCACCCTCAGAGCAGATTTCTCTCAGAGAGTTTCCTAACACGCAGGCTTTGTCCTGTGTGTCCTATGGTGACCCCAGCAATGTTTCTATGAGAGGACTGAGAATTAGGGAGGAAGGGGACTCTACACAGCACAGAGGGGGCTCCCTTCCAGACCCCGGATTAGGCACAAACCACACCCAAACACCTGTTTTCACAGAGAGAGCCTTTATTAAGCGGGGAAGAGAAGATAAAGCGGCTTCTGCCTGACTGGGGCAGCAAACAGCAGCTAATGGCCTTGCAGGGGCCATTCTTTTCTTCCTGGACTTTGGTAGTCAGCCTCAGGAGGAAGTGCCTAGGAATGACATCTAACAGTTTTTAGCAAGGCAGAGGGACTGGGGAGAAGGGCAAGGCCTGCCAGAGCCACAAGCTCGAGTGGGCGAGTGTCCCTTCAAGGGGTTATGGCCATTTTTTTTTCCAGCTGGGCATGGTGACAACAGCCTTTAATCCCAGCACAGGGGAGTTGGAGGCAGGAGAATCAAAAAGTTCCAAGTTGTCCTCAGCTACAGTGGAAGTTTGAGGCTAGCTTGGGCTACATGAGATCTAATCTAAGTAATAATAACAATTTGAATAGCACAGGAAAAACATGCAATCTCAAATTATCTAGAAAATATATCTACTATTTACTACGTTTTAGTTTTTTGAGATAAGATTTCACTCTGAAGCCTAGGTTGGCCTGAACTCGCTATGTAGCTCAGGCTAGACTCCAAGTCATTATTCTCCTGCTTCAGTCTCCCAAGTGCTGGGGTCACAGGTGTAAGCCATCAGAGCCTGGCTTCTTTATTTTCTTTGTTTCCTAGACTGGGTGGCCTAGGCTGCCTTGAAGTTGGTGTAGAGCAGAGGGTGTCCTTGAACTTCTCACCCTCCTGGCGTGCCTTCTAGGTCCTAGAATGAAGAGTGTACACCAGCATACACACACACACACCAGGGCTGCCCTTACATATCCCTGCACCAGCAAGAAAATCAAAGTGGCTCTGTAGACCCAAAGGTGCAGGTGACCGACATCAACAATACCTCAGAACCAACCAAGCATCTTAGGGAGCCAAGACCTTCTCAAGCTCCTGACTTTTTCCAGGAAAGCAAAATACTCTTCCCCAGGAACACACACACGTGCACATACATACTCTCATACGCACACTCAAATACACATACATATACACAGTACATATATACACATACACATACAAACACACATATCCACATGCATACAGATATACATATACGCTTACATACATTCATATACATATACTCACACAGACATATCCACACATGCGCATGCACCCACAAGCACGTGCGCACATTCACAGACACAAGAGTGTTTGACATCAAATGTCCCAGGCCTTCCCAGGATGCCCGAATTTCGGATGTTAACACCAAGATGGCTCATCTGACCAAACCCCCTCCACTCTACCCCACCCATCCACTTCCTCTCTGCATCCTGCTCCGGAGTAGGATACAGTAATAGCCTCTGCTGTCCTGATCAACCTGGGCTCATGTCTTTATCCTCAGGGTATTGCGTAGAATCATATCTCTTTTACCCATGAAGCACCTGGGGCTCAGAACAACTGCATAACTCCAGAGCCAAGGTTAGACCACTGCTTGTGCTGGGCGTGGGACAGGAGCTGACTCTCAGGCCCGTGGTCTTGGAACCACACCAGGTTCTTTTCAGGCTGTTCAGAAGCTGCCTTCAGGCAGGACCCAGGTGGCAAGGTTTCCTGTTTCCACACAC